CCCCCACAAACCGTGCCCTCAGGCTTTTGTACCCCGATGTCACACTTTAGTAACGTAAAAATATTTTCCAGATTGACTTGCAGCTGACTGGTTTTGCTAACTTCACGGCTTTGAAGAAGAGGATTCCTGGACTCAAGACGGAGGTAGCGTTGGGAGGATGGGCAGAGGGAGGAAGGAAGTATTCCGGGCTAGTATCCGTCAAAGAAAGGCGTGACTCTTTCATCGCTAGTGTAGTAGGTAAGAAAGAACACGCAATATTCACGGAAGCGAAGTGGGTGGGAGAACAACCAGGGGTAATTTGACGTGTGGAAATCCCACATCATGGAGTAAGACCGAAGCATTCTAATGACAACTACGTGTTTTAGTAAAAAAACAAATACAATTAGAATTTACACCTACGCGCGTGTAACACTTCGTGAGCCGATAAATGACTTACGATACCTCTTACGCTAAAAAATGTCGAGGACCTAGTGGTCTCGGGCCGGATGTGACCCGCGGGCCACCAGCTGTACCACGCAGGAAGCTTAACATGTTTTATTTCGCGCAGATTTCATGAACCAATACGGATTCGACGGATTTGATCTGGACTGGGAATACCCTGGAGCTGCGGACCGGGGTGGCAGTTACTCCGATAAAAACAATCTCTTCTTCTTCGTCGAGGAGTTAAGGACGGCTTTCGAAAAAGTCGGCAAAGGCTGGGAGATAACCATGGCCGTACCACTTGCCAAATTCAGACTCCAAGACGGCTACCATGTTCCTGACCTCTGCGAGTGAGTGTGGCCACTTTACAGCAAATTTGGTTTGTAGGCCATAACAACGCATTGTCAATTAATTTCAACTCCCGCTAGCCGTGATGATTACTGGTATAAACTGACCGACGTTTCGGAGGTGCTTACTGCTTCCATCATCAGGGCTATGATTAACTCACCGCTTTGAGACGACGGTCAGTTTCTGTTAGACTGTCCCAGGAGGCAGTCAACGACATACTCGCCTGTAATCGCAGCGCGAACTGATCCTAATTCGTGGCAAAATATGGAGACAGCAGTTTCCTCTGAAATGTTAACCACCAACATGACTATACAGCGTCACAAACCATACGGACAAAATAGAAATCTTAGCATCGCGAAGGCTCATTTAAACGCATACAAAAGAAATGTGATATATATTTTTTTTTCAGACTGGTGGACGCTATCCATGTTATGTCGTACGATTTAAGAGGAAACTGGGCCGGATTTGCTGACGTGCACAGCCCTTTGTATAAGAGACCGACTGACCAGTGGGCATATGAGGCTCTGAACGTAGTAAGTAACCAAGTAACCTTCAAACTTAAAGATTTAATTACATTATAAAAATAGCTAGTAAAATATATCAAAGTTAAACTATTTATGAAAGACCATATAATACGAAAATTTCAATTTAAAAAAGTTTTCTTTCTTTAAATGAGTTAACAGAGTGAAGTTTTACGTAAGTAAAAAAAAAAAATACGCTGATCTTGAATTTAACACTCACTTTGAATAATTAAAGGTTTCTGAAACAGCACATAACGATTCAAAAGAGAAAAATTTCATGACCTTTTAACCTGGAATCTGATTCAGGTAGGCATAATGTAAGATATTCTACTTTTTACATTTTTATTTTGAAAAACAAAAGTCTTGTCATTTATTACTGCTCTATGGATCTTTAGAAATCAGCTGCTATTATTATTATTATTATTATTATTATATGAATTGTTTAATTGGTCCACAAGCAGCCAAAAATTATTATTATTATTATTATTATTATTATTATTTACACATTGATTTTGTGAAAAATTACTCAAATTTATGTAAGACTGTCAACGTACTATTCAGATATTTAATCTGTTCTTTTCAGAACGACGGACTCCAGTTGTGGGTGAATTCGGGATGCCCACCGGATAAGCTTGTGGTGGGAGTCCCGTTCTATGGACGTACCTTCACGCTTAGCCAAGGAAGTAACAACTACAATATTGGCACGTACATTAACAAGGAAGCTGGTGGCGGTGACCCTGGTCCTTACACTCAAGCACAAGGATTCCTGGCTTATTACGAGGTAAATATCACATCTGACGTTCATACACTTTCAGGGGTTGCATTCAATGAACTTTGTACATCTAAATTTATCGGATGGTGGGGGCAGATTCAGTTATTTCGAAGTGAAAATGTGAGTAATACTGTTCTGAGTTAGTCCTCAGATATTTTATAAGATGGCAGTTTAAACATTCGGTACGACTTTATTCTGAAACGCGTATTGCTACAGACGGATAAAAGTAAGTTGCCCACTCGTCCCACAGCTAGCAAACCTTATATTGAGCGAAGCGACTGTGCGTACGTGATAGAGCAATGACGTAGCATGGCGCATGCACTAACGGTACTTCCCGCGTTCTCACAGTAGCATCGTTGCAGCTGTTGAAGATGGAGGTTCTTAGATAGTCTCCACACATATGTGACGTGTTTCGAAAACTTACAAAGACTCTACACGATGATTCTGTGTTTCAGATCTGTAAATATCTCCAAGATGATCCTGAATGGGTAAAGAATTACGATGACATTGGGAAGTGCCCTTACGCTTACAAAGGTCTGTATATATAAATTAAACTTCTCGTGTTCCTATAATAACTGTGAAGGAATTATTTTAAACACGTGATTAAAAAAAACCCATTACTGTTCCTAAATCAGGAACCCAGTGGGTTGGTTACGAGGACGCAGCCAGCGTCCAGATAAAGATGGACTTCATAAAGGAGCGAGGGTACCTTGGTGCTATGACCTGGGCTATTGACATGGATGATTTCCAAGGCCTCTGTGGGCCCAAAAATCCGCTTATTACCGTTATGCACAACGGCATGAAAGACTACATTGTCCCAACACCTCACGTTTCTACAACAGCTCGGGTACGTACCTCGTTTCTTTATCAGACTAAGTTAGTTTATTTAAAGACGATTTTTAAATTCAACAAATTATATCCACACAATGGTTAGCGTATTACATTACACTGAGCAAAAATATCAAAATTACAACACAACAGTATATATTCTTCAAATAAAACCAACATGTTTCGACTCTTTAAGTGACCATCATCAGGGTTATTTACAGTATAATTAACTTTGTGAACTAAAAGGAATCTTCATTCCACATTTACTTCTCTCGAAAACCACTTCATTGGAGATTATTCTGAATTTATTAAAACCAGAATATGACATCTGAATTTCTCACAGCTGTAAATATGTCGAATTCTGTCTTATGATTAATAACGACATGTAGACATGTGTGTAGGTACCGACTGTATTCAGCCCTGAATATAAAAGCAGCATGTTCCTCTCAAACGTTAAAATCTACCTAAAAATCTACACGGTTTTTCCCCCCCAGAAGACGAACACTGACAACTAAAATATATTCTGAAATATTATCATAAGACTCTTTCGAAAGCTTGAAAGAAGACATGTTTTGTTTACAGCCTGAGTGGGATAGGCCACCCAGTACCACACCATCTGGTGGTTCAGCTACCACACCAAAAGCCGCTGCTGCTACTACTACTACTACTACTACTACTACTACTACTACTACTACTACTACTACTACTACTACTACTACTACCACACCAAAGGGCACTACTGCCTCCACCATCACACCAGAACTCACTACTGCATCAACCAATACACAGACTACGACACAAGCTCCAAGTACACAAGGACCTGTCCCTGGAGACGAACCCGATTGCTCTAATGCAGATTATCTACCGGCTGTTCAGTGCGATAAGGTAAAATACCGACCAAGAAAATAGTCCATTAAAATGTGTTGTTTATATGTGTTTTAATTCGTAACATTTATTATATTTTTATGACACAGTGATCAAAATAAAATTCCATGACATTTTGTAACAGATATTGTATTTATTTTGAATGTGAAAAGCTCTGAAATAAACAAACACTAAATATTTTTAAATTTTCTGTTCCTAGGTCAGTGTATCAAACGATCTATTCAAAACGAGAATACATATAATATGAATCATTCATGTTATGTTGTTTAATTATTAGGCTAAGGTTCATATTAACATGGCTTAGCTCTGAAAGGTGAAGTAAAATTGCCATGAAGACGTATGGAGGCGTGGAATTAAAGCTCCATGCATTCTTAACCTCTGTCAGCTAACACGCAGGACTCCTACTACCAGGGAAACAGCGCCTTGTATATAAAGTAGTTTTTTATGGCCCTTTGTTATATTATCTGCTCACAATAAATCGATTCTCAACATCCGGACTCCTTTCAGTATGCAATGTACACGCGATATTCAAGAACGGACTATATTATAGGGAGTAATAAGGTAATATATGTGAAAAACTGAGGACGACCTGTGTTATACAAACGAAAGTTAAATTAAAAATAATAGACGAGCAAATTGACAAAGTACGTTCACAGAGCTGAGAAGGCCTATTTTTAAACATCACGCAGAATAAAAAACATGGAGTAAATATGTCAATATATCGTGTTTCAGTTTTATCAATGCTCCTTTGGTAAAGCAATTCAACTGTCGTGCCAAGGTGGAACTGTCTGGAACCAAGTACTCAAGGTCTGCGATTGGCCTGAACACTCTTCTCGAGCTGAGTGCCAAAATGCCGGAAACGAATTGTAAATCGAAACACGGATGAGAATTTCCCACACGTAACAATTGCTCAAAACAATGTAAATAAACCAAAACATTAAACATTTCAGGTATACCAAAATAATAAACATATAGATTAGAATGCTTGTATACATATCTGCTTCATTAAACTGTTATTAGCAAGTATATATATTTTCTCTTTCATAACGCATCATTTGTCCACGAAAATGCGACTATTTTCATTCTCAAAATTCCCACATGCGAGCCATTCAACATTAAGAAGACGAGAGAGGGGTATAACCAGCGATAGTACCATATACCGCTTCTTACTCTAAAATGTCTCCAGAAACAATTCACTCTGATGGTGGAGGCAGTATGCACCTCTGAAATGTCCCGCCAATTGTTACGCGACTACACGGTGCAATTTCCCAGACGACAGCCACCATGACAACCTGAAATTAAATTTAATCTTCCACCACCAACGCCAAATAATGTTTTAAATAAAATGGGCAAAACAGGTTTAAGAAGCTTAGCTTCGATATGATCTATAATGACAAGATCAATCTGAAATACGCAGATTAAGGAAACTTCCTGTAAAAAGTTTAACATTCCACCTGCTTATTTTGATATACCAGTATAAGTTTTCAAGAATGGAACGTTTTAAAACAATTACATTATTGTCGGTGTATGGTCTGAAGATGGAGGCAGCATGTTCCTACCGAGTTACACGCCATTACGTTCCAGAAGGGCAATATCGATACATTCCCGTTATTTATCACCGTGAAAATCTCAAATATTAATTACAACTACTCGAAGATCTTATGTTCATTTTATTCGAAGACCTTGCGTCAATTTTAATCAATGCAAATATGTCACTGTTGCACTTATTACAGCCATTAATCAGCAAATACAGTTCATGTTCCATGACGCCATCTTGCGCCATATTAGATTTGTTCGGAACAGAAAAAAGAATTAAAATGAAGTTTTAATCGTACCTTTGGTGGATGTAGACAATTAGAAACTTGTCAGCTGTCTTCTAAAGTCAACACAGTATCTTCGGAAATGATAGAACAATGTTACAATACACATCAAATAATATTGCACTTGTGACACATACCAAGTAATGCTGCACAACGTTCGATTTCAACAGCATATTATGCACATTCTAACTTTCAAACAACAAGTTATAATAACCATAAGTAAGCTCACAAAACGAAATATAACACAAATTAAAATCATTCCCATCTGTGCATAATCACAATTTACTAAACAACACTGAAAATATTCAACCACGTGCAGCCATGATTATTCAACACGTTCATTCGCGATTAACCTTTCACTAAGCGGCAGTAGGAGTTAGGCCTACGTCGCCATAGGCTCACCAACTACCCTAACTTAGTTAGCTTTATCCCAGCGCAATCAGTGCTGTACTTGCTTTTTGCGGAGATTTTTGTAACTATATTAAAAAATAATTTAGAAATATATTTGCGGTCTCATAATAAATCTAAATATCAACAGCAAATAATTAATAATACACGAAACGCAATATCCAAATTATAGTCACAGATCTTATTATTAACTTCATATAAATTAGACGAGAATTATATCAAACCAATCGATCGAGAATAATCAGCGATATCTTTAAATCGATAGTAAGACGACTCAATACTCGTCACAATGACTTCACTACAGGAACTACGATTGTCCATTATGCAAACTAAAACTATGCTAAAGATTAACGTAATAATTGCTACATTCCTATGTTCAAAAACACATTTTAAATCTGTGACGTCCCCAACTTAGTACGCCATAACGTATACAAGGGCATTTTACCCTCCCCTGTAAACGGGTGCGAGTCACTAACTCCACCCCCTACGATTGTCCATTATGCAAACTAAAAACACTAAAACTATGCTAAAGACTAACGTAATAATTGCTACATTCCTATGTTCAAAAACACATTTTAAAATCTGTGATGTCCCCAACTTAGTACGCCATAACAACGTATACAAGCGCATTTTACCCTCCCCTGTAAACGGGTGCTTGTCACTAACTCCACCCCTACACCCATCACCATATACCATGAATCGAATACTGACCTACAGCAGTAAACATACTAGTAACTTAACGCCGTGGACTAACAGAACCTAACTTCTAACGGCATGCAGTAATCCTTGTTCAGAACTTTATCGTACATCGCAAACCAAGAAATACAATGCCGTCTACAAATATTCCAAAACTCATGCCATTTTCCATTAATTTGGTCAATCGGAAGAATTTTTTAAAGTCTGGGACCCTGTGTAACATTTCATAACATGCCAGTTTTTCATTGCAAGGAATTTAGCCCCTTACATAACCTCAAACCTGGAGTATCAGTCCTTGTCAGCTGTCTGCCAACTACTTATTCAATATAACTATTTGTAACTTCATCCAGAGGATACCCTTTCCATCTCCAATCTGAAAATGCACTACATCATCATGACAAATAAACCCATTTAAGATTCTGACTTCCATCAAGAGCTTTACGATCATATGAAATATGACATCCCAAATTTTGTACTGTATTTAATTTCTTACCAACTATCAGCTGATCTTGACTTTTTCTTCAGTATGACTGCACAGCTGTGGGAAGAATGGGGCAGGGATTTTCAAAAAAGTATTAAGGCTCATAAATCATACAGTACATATATATATATATATATATAGCAATACATTATTAAAAAAAAATTCAGTACATTCAAGTGACAAGACACTGACAGTCACCTCTAAATATGATAAAAAAATTCTCATAATTTATAACAAATTGGCAGATGGAAAATTAATCAAGGTGGTATAAATGATAAAATTTAATAAATGCAGGATTTTTATAATGACCAATACAGAATCTTTCCCCCAAAAAGTACCATACATAAGTTATCTTGGCAGTCGCCTTAGTTGCCATCTTGTCTGTCCAGCTGCGGCAAATCGTGCAAACACGCCTTCTGCCGACCTCAGAGAAAATTTTCTTCATCCGCTCTGATCTTCATTATTCATCTCTCACTTAGTTACTAAGATGACCTTGAAATACATTATACTCAGAAAAGTGAATAAATGTTTACCTTACGATGACTTTAATAAACTTATATGGAGTTTCAGAAATACAGGTACATATCAGATCATAACATAAAACATAATTAATAATTCAAGACGATTTACGAGAAACAAATCATAAAAAACAAAGCGACCAAAAAAAATCATTACACAAACAAAAAAATTTCATCTTCAAAATTAAATAAAAGAATATTTGTTTCTCATAAATGTAATACACAGCTAACACGGCCCACAGCTCCGTAGGCCTCAAATTCATTAAATCAGTAAGGGTCACGTAAATATGTACAACATGAAATGTAAAAAATGACCCAACTAAATATCATTTCACAGTCTCATAAGAAGGAAACAGTTCAGGGTTTAGAAAATCCATTCACAGATTTGGTTTTTATAGACTACCTCAACACTACAGTCCCCGAGAGTTGACTAATCCCTGTGATGTATGCAGCCTGGAAAATCACGTGCTGAATTACTATCAGATCGAAAAACATCGTAATCATTCTCATCTGACACAAACTTTACAGGCAATAATTCATAAATCTAGAAATATTATAAATTTATAATATATGAATATCAGTATTAAAACCAGCAGAAATCAACAAACGTGTCAGAAATATCTTTGCACCGATGATCAACGATCTTCACTCATAAACAGACCGCGGAAGGATAACGCACGTGCGCATCACTTGCATATCAGCTCGTCCACATCACAGGCATTTACTTAATTCCTAACGACTGCGGGCACAATGATCAGGCAGTCCGAGACCAAGACCAGTTCAATTTCAGAGCACCAAAAATATCGCCAGCGGACGGCGTCTCACACGGTTCGTGACGTGATGGGACGAGGCCACAAAAACCGGGACAAGTCTGCGATCCCAAGACAGAGAAAAAAGAAGCGAACATCTGGAGCCTGAACACCCAAAAACATTCTGAATATATTTGCAATGTATAAGCTAGCTTTGGCAGGACGCGACAGGTTTCTCAACGCTGTTTGAAGCAATATACAAATATCATTTTAGTGTAAACCATTCATACCCAAACCATATGTGACTAAACACTAACAACTTCATTAACCATCCAAATACATTACTGCGTACAGCAAGTATCTTGCTTCATCAATAAAAATTTATGCTATTACAATATAATATTAATAATAAAGCTGTACGTTCAGATATTATCCTCAACACTTCCCTCCAATACACGATTAAATTCAAGACGCGCGGTATCAATAAACTTTTAAAGAGAGATGACAATATTAAAAAGTTATGATAAGAAATTAATCTCATGTTTTGTGCTCGAACATGAATGTTTACGGGATTTGAAATCTCGGCAGTCGTACGGGAAGCACGCAGTTTACTATTACATGTTCACACTTATAATTCCATTACAAAGAATTTTTTTATGCCACGCTGGTTTATGACGCAAGATAAATTACGGGCGAAACATCTGAGAACACACACACAAAAACATCTATTACTTAACCGAGAATTAAGACTAATAATTTCAAAAACCGAGAATGCTCGTCCCTTAAATCAATAATCATTACATTTTAATACTATTGCTTAATCCGACAAAGCGGTCCATAATCTGATACAAAAAAGCAACCATCTTGTGTTCTCTGTTTTGATACAAGTTAAAAACGAAGAATTAAAATTCACGGAGTAAGAAATTCAATTACTTCGTGGAAATCTTTTACACGAAACAGATTCTACATATATTATTACACATAAACCCAACCTGTAAACAAACAGATGATTCAGATACCGTAGTTTAATGATCACGTGTCAGCAGCCGCCATTTCACATTTTCCATCATCAAGAATATATAAACGCTAAACCATAAATTTTAAATAAAATATGTTTTATATCACAAAATTTATTTAGCAGAGTCTGGGAATATAAAAAAAAATATCCCCAGAAAATTACTACTCATTCTAGACATGGATTTATAATTTTTTTTTACAACAATTAAATTGCAATTAAACTGACAGAATCGATTATACAAAAAATTACCGAAATATTTATAGGCCTATAATTTTGTATTTTTTATAACAACTACGAAGACTAGACCATTTTAAACAAATTTTCATATTAGGAACACGAAAGAGTCGCCGTTCTAATAATAGGTTTCGACTGAATTTGGAATAAATCCCGCAGCCGGCTCTCACGACTTCATAAGCCCTGCAAAGTTCTGGGATAAAAACTTATGGTTTTGAAGATAAAAAAAAATTAAAACAACAAAAATAACTTTAAGAATGTTTTGGTCTTTAGAGTACCTTTCAAAAAATTTAAATTTAAATTTCATGTAAGTGCCAAAAGAAGGAGTTTACGAAGTACGTTCTGCGTAAATTTTACTGTTTGAAGACTTCGCGCAGAACAGGATAATAAAAAACATCCTTACACATAAACGGTACAAAACGTAGATCTCGAAAAACGTAAGAAAACTTCAGTTCCTATTCCAAAAACGAAAGAGCGACCGACCTCTTCCAATAAGAAAATAGCAAATTTTATACGGCGAGACTAGAGCGAACAGAACATCCGCCACATTACAGAAGCAAATGGGCCTGTCCAGTAGATATAATTTTTCACAACAAAGAACGGGAATTAGACACAAATAAATAAAACCAAAACTGCAAGGTTATGAACATTTCGTGCAAATTTGATATCATCTTCGTCGTCAGCAATTCAATTCAGCTGGAAGTAAACATTCTTCACAAAAAATAACCTACTTATGACAACATCCATAAAAAAAAGCAGGATAATTTTTTTTAAAAAAAGTGCAGAATGAACAAGAAGATGCTAAATACATGTAACCGAGACAATTTTAAAAAAGAGCGCATGTTGCGATCAAAATCTATTTTTAAACATGACAATTCATTACCCCCCCCAAAAGTGCCTCAAAACACGCTTTATAACCCGAGTTCTGAAATGTGAGATTCACTTTTTTTTTCCACAGGCCTTGAATATATTTAAACCATCAACTCGTGTTTAATTGAAGGTAAGTACCTCAACTAATTCAAGATCTCAAATACCAAAATGTAATACAAACGCCGCAAGAAATTAATAATATAAGAGATGCTACCTGTAAAGCGGCCCATCCACGTACGAGCCTGACTCGGATATATTTCACCACACATGCATAACAGACTCGGCTCGTGACCCCCCACCCACAAACGAGTCTGGATCGACGGAACCCGAGCCGAGCCGGACTCGCACGTGGATGGGCCGCTTAAGAAAATACATTAATTGCATTTATATCAATACAGATCAGAATTTTTGTTCTTACTGAATTCAGAGTGAATGATTAAATACGCTTTGCAAGAAAAAATTCACGACTGCTGTCAATATCAGTATTATATAATATAGGGCATTCTAATATCCACAGGAATAAACGTACGAAGAAATTAAATAAACGGTCATCGATGATACGCGCAATATTTCTCAAGTAAATAACCCAAAAATGGATGTTACGAGTATCATGATAAAGAGCCCGAATATTTACCCCGCTACGCATTACTAATAATTTCTTTACCCTGAAAATATACTTGCCATATCAGCACAGTGTAAACCTCACTTCGTACACGTACTTTGGCACCACGTAATTGTTCGCTACATTTACGTCACCCAACAAAGACCAGAATATCAAAAGACACTTACTTAATCACAGACACTAAAAATGATTTAACAATTATAATTGCAATATTGCAACCTAGGAGCCTCATTATCCCCAGGGCCAATTTTCTGACGGCCGTCTAACGGGCCGTCCACCACAGAAATGTTACCTGATTCTTCGCTAATTGTCGAAAGCCCAGTTGCCGTGACACCCCCCATAATAACTTTCTTCTGTGGTCCATTTGAAAGGGGACAGTCCGGACAAACATCTGGGAAGGCGTAATCACCGAACTCTGTATGTAAGGAAGTGAATTCAGACACGTAAGGAAGACGTGGAATGCCGTTCATCCTGGAAACTTCTTGTTCGGAAGGTATGAACATCCGCTGATATTGGTGGTATCCTCGAATTGAAGAAGATACAGAATCTGTTGTGCCATCCTGAAATAAAAATCAATAACCAGTTTTGTTTTACGAAATAAAATAATAATAAAAAAAATAACAAGAAATTACTGTAACAAATAAACTGTACTTTCGTTAAGTTCACAAAGTCATTATGGAGCATATTTTAATTCATTTGGTTCGTATTATAAATACTGGGATACTGGGAACGACCCGTTCTTCAAGTGCCTGAGCACTGCGGGTCCCAACTTTTTCGTTGGCTCGATCTATAGACATTCGGTAGGATTCCTTGGACGAGGGATTGGCCCGTCGTGAGGCCTCTACCTGTACAAAGGACAGCACGACAACACAGAAAGACGCGCACAGACATCCATGGCTTGAGTGGGATTCGAACCCACGGTCCCAGCGACCAAGTGGCACAAGGCCCACGCCTCAGATCGCGCGGCCACTGCGGACCCCTGTATTATAAATAACTACCTCAAATCAAAACTTGTCCAAAAATAGGCAGTCCCTAACTGGAATAGTCTGTTACTTCTGTCATAACACGAGATTAAATTTTTGTTAATACAAGACAATGTTATTCATTGACGCATGAAGCAGTTAGTGTTATTATTTGTTATGAGGACCAAATTAATTTCAATGTCATAGAAGATGAGAGGCTACCACGAATCCCGTCCCAGTCCAGTTTCCTCCATCCGAAGTAACCAGGACTTGTACTTACATAAATTTTATCCTTTTTATCCCGGCCACAAGAATACCTGCGGTGAAAATACGCATATAATCCTGACTAACCTCTTGCCTTCTCACTCAGAAGACACAAAGAAAACCATGCACATATTCCCATGTTAGTTGTGAAACATCTCACCAGGTTGTATCTGCTAGCAAGGGCTACCTCTGAATTTCGTGTGTCCCCTTCAACAGGTTGAAACACCCACAGGATTGTCCACGTGGGAACAAGAAACTTGGCAACCATGAACACAGCGATAATTAATGAGTAGAAGAATTGAGTATGAGCAAAGAGAGAGCTACATCCATCCTTCTCTGAGCCAACTGAAACAAAACATTAACAGTACTTAAATGCGCCCAGCCCAATCACGGCAAGATCGTCACGGAACGCTTGACCATTATCATCCAAGCATCAATGGGAAACAATTTAATCGACCAATGTTATTCAAGAACTTTTTATGACTCAACATGATAACTGGACAACTCTACACAAATTCAATGATAATTAGACAAATTTACAGAAATTCAATGATAATTAGACAAATTTACAAGAATTCAATGATAATTAGACAAATTTACAAGAATTCAATGATAATTAGACAAATTTACAAGAATTCAATGATAATTAGACAAATTTACAAGAATTCAATGATAATTAGACAAATTTACAAGAATTCAATGATAATTAGACAAATTTACAAGAATTCAATGATAATTAGACAAATTTACAAGAATTCAATGATAATTAGACAAATTTACACAAATTCAATAAGGTTACTATGGGAAAGTCTTTATTATAAACTTAAAGAAATAAATATTACAAAAAAAAACACTTACAAAACCTAGTTATTGCATCAAATGCTACCGCAAGAAGCGCTGAGAATTCGTAGACTATAATGACGCTCCAAAGATCTCTTCTCTGTGAACTCTTAAAGGAGGCCAAGGAAGAAACACCTTCAGTTCTATAAGTGACACAGATACCGGCCACCGCAAAAAGTTGAACTATCGAAAAGTCTGCTATAGACAGCATGAACCAATACGGACCTGTAAAACACGCACCAACTGGTAAAAGACAGACAACAAAGTGATTTGATTATTAATCATTCTTACGGTTCTTGGCACGTATTATACGTGATTAAAAAGAAACTATGAGAACTAAAATAAATTATCTGGCAAATAAAACATGAGTGGAAAGTATTTTTGTGTATTTTCATACCCTATGATATTTAAGTTAATTTATTTCAGACACAAATTAATTGTATTTCTTTCATCTTAAGCATGCCGTGCTGACTCTCGTGACATATGCGTGCTGAAACGTACAACAGAGCAACAATACTGTTAAGAAAATTAATTACATGAAAATGCATACATAAATCTTTCATTTTTAAATGATTAAACATTTCATATCAAAAATACCAGGGATAGGAAAACTATGAGAGTGACAGTTTTTGTGATCTGGAAATAAAACATAAATATTAACGTTCCTTAATTTCTTTCATTCATTTCACCTTCTGTTACACTCCCATGGCTAAATAAGACCTGCAAATTTAAATAATAAAGCATGATGTCTATTAATGAGAGATAAATATTTGTGAAAGGTTCACAAATAAAAATAACGAGAGACGTGGCATGACTAAAAACATTTGAAATAAAAAAAAACTCCACAAGTAACACTGCAAAATCTATGTGCGAATCAAATCACTCTACTAATGAAAAGGACTAGAAACCAGGAAGAAATTTTCAAATGTCATTTCAAAAGTATAAATAGTATATTCCTTCTTCACGACATAACTCTGGTTCCATAAAAAAAAAAATTGGCCACACACACAAATTCTGATCCGTGAAAGTTCTAAAACACCGTGACTTACGCATGCACTCGGTCCACGTTCCTGTCACATCGACCATACCCATTAGTGCTACAGTAGTGCAGTAGAGTATGTAGAGACACAGCACAGGATTGATCAAATGCTGAACTATGTCTTCTCGATGGAGGGTCCTTGCTGCGAGTGACCAATGTAGATGGCAGATAATTGTAAACTGTAAGAGCTTTAAGAAACAAGCCGTGAAATCCAACTGCGGGTATAAGCTGCCTGCCATGAAACTAGCACCACTGAAATAAAACAAAGTCAAAGTACAGGGAACACGGTACTCAGTAATTACCAACATACAACATTAATATCATTACAGCGGACTTTAGAGATAGGTAGCTCAGTCAGTACGGCGACTGGCTACGAGCTGGGCGATCGCATTCGATCTGCGACAGACGCAGAGGATTTTCTTCTAGTCTGTGCATCCAGACCGACTCTGGGGCACACCCAGCCTCGTGCCCAATGGGTACCGAGGTCCTTTCCTGGGAGGTAAAGCATGAATAGGGCATGCTGCTGACCACTCACCCCCATCTAGTGCCAAGGTTGAAAATGAGTAGGAGCTATATCTTCTCTACCAAAAGTGCCAACATTGGCATGTAACTGGATGGCTTTAATTTAAGACAATATTGAACAGATAATGTGAGAATAAACAAACACAGACTCATTTCAGATTTTTAAGTCTGTATTAACATTAGCATCATGTCAGACACTTGTACGGTATGCATAGGCAAACTTTAAAACAAAATTATTAGATACTTTGCCTTAGGGTTTTCGGCACACGATCTGTGCGGTGGATGCAAAATAATTCTGAGCTTCGCTGACTGTTAAAGACAGATATATGCAAGGGAGGGGAAAACCATGAATTGATAGCACGTCAGTCCTTCCTTGTAACATCTGATGTAAAATTATTAGACTGTAGAAGTGCGGGTTAAGGCATATGTCTGAATTGAAAATGTTTTATATGTCACTTGGTTCATAAAACACAGTACAATGAAAAAGTCAGTGTACCAAAATTCCACTGAATAAGTTGAAATTATAAGGGAGGGGAAAAAAATTCTGTGCATGTATACATCTTCTCTTCCACTCTTACTGTGACATAGCTCAGACTCAGTTATCTTGCATCCACTGTATGTATTCTATATAAACATGCAGGCAGCTTTAAGCTTCTGAAAGTTTCTTTCTTCAAAATACCAATGACCATGTCTCAACAAAAACAGGATTCAGAGCTCTCAATGCTAATCCAGGAGCATGAAATTATTAAATGTGTAATTTAAGTACAATAAATTCATATCTCTTAATGGGAAATGTATTTTAACCACAACAAATAAAATGGAAGAATTCTGCATTACACTTTTGTATTATGTGACTGTTACTGATAAAAAATAAACACACCCATGAACATCACAGATTAAAGTGAAAGGTATGAAATTTTCACTTACCACACCAGGCATTCAACAGCAGACACATAGAAGATGGCATAATGATGCATTTGTGGGTGTCTATAAACATGATATTTGACAATCTTCAAAATAACAAATATCAATGTAATAGCTGCTGCCACTGTCAATACACTTGTGCGAACACATGCCAAAGTGTCAAAAGGATCGAAACACCCCTTATTCGCAACATCAAGAGTATCATTACCAAATTTTCGACCTCTTGCCAGCATTATGGACTTTGTAAGTGACCTGTAAATGAAAAGGTGAAAAGTAGGATACGCATAAAGAGTCGCTTAACATGCCACAACTTTCTCCTACTGTTCATCACACTCGTTAAAACTCATGCTCGCTTAACATGCCACAACTTTCTCCTATTGTTCATCACACTCGTTAAAAATCATGTGACAAATAACTCCATATCATAACTGAAAACGTTCTTTATACTAAACAATTAAATTACTGTATCAGAGAACCAAGAAACCTTCAAGAAAAAATACGTACTTTATATATTATATTAACTAAAGTTTCATCTTTGTAATACAGAACTTGAAAACACAATATATATTTCACACATAATATGAACAACTTTCAATTTCCTACGTTTACTTCACTGAAATACTTCAAATTATTCCGTACAAAACTGCAAACGTTCGATGTCAGCCATGATCGGTTGTTGTTCAACGTCACATCCATCCTCGAACTTCAAACCGGAAATCAACTAGTGCCATCTATAACAGGAAGACCGCCAAATTCAAATTAAATTAAATTTGAGGTTAGTACATATAAAATACGTGCAGACAGATATCGCAACAGAAGTCACGCTCGCTAAAGTTGCGTTACGTTGTATTCATGCGTAGATAATCACGCGAAACGACACCATTATCATTACATCTCTCGACTTGAGGCAACTCTCTCTTTGCTATATTGAGTGCAAAAATAACTATGTATTCGTAACCTGTGGCATAACGCGCGCACACAATTTCATTAATTTATATCCAGCGATTCTATATTCATAAAATGTGTGCTGACGGATGTAAAGGGGATAGCTTATTTAACGACGCTTTTCCAGTAGCTGATTATACAGCGTCGAATAAGGATGACAGTGAAAAATGAATTGGAAAGGATGTGGAAGGAAGGTGTCGTGGCGTAATTTAAGGTACTATCCCAGAAATTGCCGGGAATGCCTAAGGAAAACCACAACAGAATACGAACCAGGAATGTAAACTATTTGACCACGCACGTTTTAAAAGTACATGTGCTCAGATCCATGGATATGTACTTCTTCAGACATACGAACTGCAGCATACGATGATTATATAAAAAAATCCTTTTGAAGAATATAAACAAGGCATAAATCATAGACAGCAGGTCAGGTTTGGGTACAAATCAGAATGTAATATTGAAACATCAGGTTTAAAGTTGATATCACAGTTTGAATATTTATCAAAACATTAAATTATAATTCTTAAACAAGTGAGTGGAAGAGGTAATTCATAGAAATATAATTTTATTAAATTAAGTAAAAATTACATGTTGTCTCGACTTCCCACTCTCCTGTGAAATGCTCTGTTAGCAGAGAGTGTGAAGAGGTCGCTGAGTGTTTCGACATGAGGAGATGAAGAGCTGACACTGAGTGGCCTTTGAAGTCGCCTTGGATCAACCACTGGAATAAGAAAAAAAAATCTGCATCATTACGTGCGACAATAAAAGTAACCAAATGCAATTAGCAGAGACACGTATCACTCACCGCTTGGCCTTCTCAGATGAGCAACGTCCAGTTCCCTCGAAGGTATCACAGGCTTTGGGTAACCACCTTCATATAGGCCCCTGTGCCCTAGATAGGGGGATACAACCCTTGCGACTAGGGATTCTAACTTAAGACGCTTCTCACTTGGGGGGTAGCACTCCATAACACTCTGAAAGGCGAAATTAAAGTTACGGGCGAGATAACTGAGGTCGTAGAATTTGTAGCAGATCCAAGTTGAGTCTGCATTAATTGTTCTTTTTTTTAAGAAATTATTCACGTCTTTATTTACATATAATCTGAGTCTGCATTAATTGTTCTTTTTTTTTAAAAATTTTAGTCACGTCTTTATTTACATATAATTTTCACGGATAATAAGTCTCACTAAAATACTGTAATGATCCACTGTGTTTGTCACTGATACCAGTAAGACTTACGTACCTACATTTATTCTGTGATATTTTTTGACAGTGATTACAGGAATTAAATACTATCTGGATTAGCGATTTCCCCAGTTCAGACCTCCAAAGATTAATTTGAAAATTCGAAATTCCGATCGAAAGCAACTTCTCTCCTACCTCCACTTCCGAAAGTCTTCCCATCTCTTCAACCTACATATGCCAGAAGGGCAAACGGGCACTGTCTGGGAACCTTCATAGCCTAAATTCTAACCTTTGCCCCCTCCCCGTTATATGTTCATTCTCTCATTACTTCCCCATTCCGACTTTCTGTTCACTCTGTCTCTCACTGGCTTCACGAATCCCGCGTATTCAACGAAATTCTGTTCAAGGTATTGGAACATAGTCCGACCTCTCTCTGGCCGGAAGCTGTACCTGCAATACAAGCAGCATCTGTTGGATTCCGGGCGGAACGCTACCTTCAGCATTCATTTCCTCCAGCAAGGGTTGAAGACGGTCCGACAGTTTCAGAAGCACGCAGTCACGAAACGCAACCAGGGTGGCTTGTCTGATGGACGTTCGTTGATTCTGAAACACATCAATGACCATACTCACTTACAGAAGTTTTATAAATCTGCCAAAAATTTACAGTTGCCTTTTAAAAATAATAAAGTATAAAATACTGGTGAGATGTCAGGTTCTCAGGGCGGCGAATATACAGACGGCTTTCTTCTGGAAGTCTTTCACCGACGTTTCAGAGTAGCTTACTGCCCTCATCATCATCATCGTCGTCTTGATGCTGAAGCCAGAAAACACCTCTGAAACGTCGTAAACTTCTACCGGGCAATCCGACGCAACATCCCAGAAAACAGAAATCTTCCTGTTTCTTTACCGATTTAACAGCGTCCGAGTTTTTTGCTGCAAAAGAATTCTGTTCCCGGACGTGTATCGCAGGCCCTGTTGCATAAGAGTCGGCAAGGAAGCCCCCACCTTGACGTGAATGAAGATGGCCTCGAGCGAAGGGAGGGCGTGGCAGTAGAAGTGCGTCCAGGCTGCGACGAGACTGGCGCTGAGGTCGGGAGAGGCCTGGTCAATTTCGTCTAGCAGGAGGCAGGCGGCAGCGGGAAGAAGTGTGTTCTGGTAGTACTCAAATATGAAGGCGCCGGCCTGCGAACGCTGAAGAACTTTGACGTCGTTATGAAGCGACATCAACTGCCCGCGGGAGAACGCGGGCCTCGTCTGCACACCCGCTCGACGCGGCTCTGCCTGCAACACAAGGCTCCAAATCAATGTCTTAACCCTCTGAAGCCTAGTGGTAATTATGTGTACCACCAACTTCAACAATTCTGCATTTTGCCCGAAGAATGTCTTTGCTGATTTCGTGAGATTCTCACTACATAAACAGCGATTATCTCCTTAAACAGCGATAACCAGTTGATATTCGTAATGGTGAAGTGTTGTGTTTTCTTCGCGGTACGGACTAAGGTTAAATCTATTTAAATAACATTTATGAATCCAGTCCGTACCGCAAAGAAAACACAACACTTCACCATTACGAATATCAACTGGTTATCGCTGTTTAAGGAAATAATCGGTGTTTACAAATGAGAATCATACGAAATCCATAAATACAAAATGCATTTACTGACTGTTAAAGCAGGTGGTACATATAGTTACCATTCGTCGATAAAGGGTTAATCACAGTAGTAAATTTGTAGCGCTTACCTTGAATCTGAGGGTCTCGTGTACTGCCGCCCGGAGTCGAACCCACTCCTGTCTGAACCGAGTGTCCCAGCTAGCAGCGAACCTGGCTTCAGCCCCAGGAGATGACGAATCGGGCGGAGCAGGAGAGGTTTCAACGAGACGAGTGAGAGAGAACCGAAACATGGGGTCCACAGTTCGAAGACTGAATTGCACTTCTCCCCTTGACACCGTAAATGTCGGCAAACGCTTTAACCGAGCGCGAGGTCCCGCCATCTTTGTAACCGTTCGTGGCTCACCCCTGTCCAGTTTTCAAACTTCACGTCACTTTAAACAAAGCATTTCTCGTAATTCTGCGTCAAATACAAAGTCCCTTTCGTCCGCACTCGGCGCAAAGTTCATACCACTGCCACAGAGCTGAAGGAATTTTACATTCATTACTACGCAGAAAGAATATCTTATTTGTTATTTATCGTTCTTTAATAGGCAGATTAGATTATATCGTCTCTAATGATGGGATTATTACTCAGTAATGAACTGGAAAGGATGCGTAAGGAAGCGGTCGTGACATGTTTTAAGATACATGCCTGGTATTTGCCTGGAGAGACTGAGAAACACGCGAAAATGTGTCCGAGACGAAATCTGCAAACAAACACAGTGCCCGCCCAGCAGCAGCACCAGCTTCGTACTCATACACATGGGCCCACTACACAACTCGACGCTACGGTGGATTTCCTTCGAATAATCGGTTCCTGCAATTCGTCCAGAACATTCCGTGGCACGGGTTTATCTCAGGAACTGGCATCGTCCTTGGATGCCGCATACGTAACACGCCTGTGGGGTTTCTCCGCATGTACGTGGTACAGACAGACCTATATATCTTGATGACCAATTAGCAGATACCGAATAATTTACATGCAGCATCCGCCAAAGTTCAACAAAAGTACGTATACATAACCCTCTCAAACCAGAAGATATTCTCTGCGTATTGGAGCAGAATACAGTATCGATACACGTCTGTCTTTTATTCTGGATGTACCTGGTTCAAGTCTCAACTGAGATACCGATCGTGGTTAGAGTTCGTGGTTTTCCTCAGTCCCTCCAGGTAAGAATATCTATAATTTCATTTCTCGTCGTAGATGTCCACCGCGTCTCATTTTACATCACACAGAAAAATCATTCCATTTTTTTTAAATTTTAGATAAAATCATTATGAATGAGCTTATCAATGGTATAAGCAGCTTCTTATAGCAACTACGTCAAGAATATATGAAGATTAGTGATCGATTTCATTACCTAGTCGTATTTAATCCCCCCCCCCAATCCGAAATGACCCAGCTGGCCTCGTTGGAAATGTGGCGATGGGTTCTTTACGTATCTGTCAGTAAACTGTAAAATTAGTGACTCTTAGAAATTCATGATGAATCATGTCTTACTTTTAGTACTGCATTCATTTTGACATTGAAACAAATGCATATTAATGTAAGTTAATTGTCCAAGAAACAGAGTTACCAGGCACGAATATCAACTACAAAAACGCTCTGCTCCACTCGGACGTGTTTCACAACATTTTGTTACAGTCTGGTAGAAGCACTAAGCTCGGTTACTGTGAAATTAAGAAATGTCGGTTTTAAGATAAGACGCGAGTATAAATCTTACAGCTGAATGTCGCTTAGCTTCCAACTATCGACTGGGACAGGTTATTCATAGGCTGAGGCAGCGAGCTGAAAATTACAAGTGGCAGGCTCGGCCAAGAGGAAATTTAACGTTATCAAGAATCATTAGAAGAGAAAGGACAGCTACGTCCGTTCATTTCAGCTGTTCACAATTCTCTTACGAGGCGAAGCGTAAAAACAAGTAGTTAGCTGCTTTAAAGTGTTCCTGAAAGCACTAGAAACGGACACAAACTGAACGCTCCGTTCTGTCAGCCAATGTCGATACTGCAAACAGCGCTGTGTCCCAAAATAATATTACAGATGTCTAATAGCTGACAGTGTCTGATAACCCAAGATTTTTTTAAAAAATCAAAAAAAAACATATCTTGCAATGGCTATTAGAAATAATTTGAGATAAAATCAAACTACTCAATTAAATGAGATGATAAAGTTGCGTCATATTGTGATAAATATATATTTGTTTAAATCTTGTCAGTCTAATCACAATAAAATTCCTATTAAATATTAAAATATTACTAACATTTAAATATTTAAAAATATATTAAATGATATTCTCTATCGAAATGTTCGATTTACATTAATCGAAGATTTAAACAAATAAACAAATACTCAATTAAAGTTTAAATAACTTCGACAAGGACAACCAGTCAAGGTGATGACAGGCTTTAAGGAATCGATGAAGTCATTTTAAAGGTTTAAAATGACGTTTAAGTGTTTGATAAAAAATATTAACGTAAGACAGGTATTTAAATTACTTACTAAATGTAAGAATAACTTTCGATCTGCTAATGGCTAAGTTAAGTAAGTAATTTAGTGACCTCCTCAATAAGGGGTTAAAATTTGATGAATTTAAATCGATGGGATTGCACCAGAATCATGCAGTAGCAATTTGGAACTTGGGAACCATCTCAGAATTTGCTAAAAGGACACCATCATGACAACCAGAACTCATAAATTAAAATTCAGTCCGTACCGCAAAGAAAACACAACACTTCACCATTACAAAGATCAACTGGTTAACGCTGTTTAATACAAAATAACGTTATATCAAGGAAATTGACTTGCGTAAAGTGATAATTAATACCGCAGCACGGAGCTACTTCAAAACACGCTCAGCAAGGCTAAAAATGCTCTGAAACATTAATTAATTACAGGGTGACCGAGAATACGCGTATCAAAATTTTTATAAGTATGGCTGTCTTCTGGGTTGTAGCGCAATGTAGTAAGTTTCCTACCAACTGAAAGACCATCAGGTTCAAAACTATGGACTCTGCTCCATGATGCTGTTTATTACGAATGACGTATCAAAGATTGACCTGAATAATTTACGTTAGATAAACAATATTCCAGAGCCTCAGATTATTAAACTGTCGATACCGATAACAATTACGTCCGATGCTTCATGAATATTTAACAATATTTATTGCGTTCCGCCATGTCGTAAGCAGACGTCATGTGATTTACATTTTCCACCCATGCGGAAGCAAGCATTCGTAACTTTCCCGCACGTGGACGTCAACTAACGTGGCATTTGGCTCAAAAAAAACGGAACATTGGAACTTTTGTTCCCTGACTTAATTAAGGTTCTTCATAAGCGTTGGGATTAGCACGCCAACATTTAGACAATCTCCACAGAAGAGTATCGTTCTCGATAAGCTGACTGTCGACAAGCTAATCAAAAAATCCCCCTTCACCCAACCGGTAGGAGTTTACAAGATCCCACCAGTGGACCCTGTTCTATACAGAACCAGTTGAATGAAGCCCAAACCCTCGAGAAATATTTATTTCTAATACCTTTTTAATAGTATCCTCCCATTTACTTCTACGTTCATGAAGAGATCTATTCCTTTAAAGATTCCCAGTTAAAATTCTGCACGCATTTATAAACGTTATGGCATTTCTGCAGTTACTCTGAGCAACACAAATTTCTGCCACGCGGAACCACGAATTACGTCACACGAGACGACAAGCTTTCGGCAAATAAATAAAACCTTTCTCACGAAGACGGTAGAAGGAATAAACTTGTATAAAAGATCACACGACACACAAACCACACTAATCAGATACCTCACACGAACATACAAGAATAAATAAATCACAGTGTTATCATTTGCGAACAGCGACGCGACCGCAATCCTCGGAGGACTTTCCAAACGCGAAGCACGGAACTTCCTGCGCTGTCGCCATCAAGTGTCGACAACCATAATGGCACATTTTCCTTCAACATTACGTCACTTACAAATTACATTCTGTCGCGGAGGCCTGTCTAATCACCTGACAGGGAAAAACTCCACTTCATGGCCACACTTCGGATATTTAAATTTTCTTATCTTATCTTAGACATGTTTAAAGTCGCATTTCATTACTTAGATTACGTTGCACACAGTGGAATAATATCGTAAATACTTAACTGGAAATTACGTGGAAGGATGTGGCAGCGGTCTACTACAAAACAATATCCCGGTATTAATCTTGAGACCCTCGAAATACCTGTCTTAATATCCGGTCTGTGGACAGAAATTTTAATCCGAGACAGCGGGAATGCTAACCACGCGACTGCGACGTTCGATACGAACTTGACGAGTATCTCCTCAGGCACGTCCATTTTCCTACTGATTTTATCAAACGTATCTAATATCAGATGTGACAAGCTGAAAACAGCAAATTATTTTTTCTGATAAAATTGTACTGCAATGGGGTCTCGAATGGACAAAATTTATTCATTTATTACTGAAAATAGGCTTTATCAAACTTCAATATGGCTGTCTTCTGAGTGATGAGGGCAATAAGTAGGAAGCCCTCGTCGCCCTGATGATGAAGGCAGCAAGAACCTCTAAAACACCTATAAACTTCTACTATAAATAC